CGAGGCATGGGTGCTGCAGCTTCGCCGGTGGCTGCGAGGGTCTTAGAGGCACGGTGATCGAGTCCTGGTGCAAATGCTTTCTGAGGTGCCGCAAAGCTTGCTGCAGAGTCGCTGCTTGTTGCAAGGAGTTTAGCGGTGCGCTGGTCCACACTTGGTGCAATTGCGGAAGCACGTGAGAGCGGCGGGCGAAGGGAGAGCGGGGGGCGGGGAGAGGGCGGAGGGTGAGGAGAGTGCGAAGTGGGAGGGGAGAGCGGAGAGTGAGGGGAGGGCAGAGGATGAGCGGAGGGCGGAGGTTGAGGGGAGAGCGGAGGGCGAAGGGAAGGCCGGGTGCTTGGGCTGGGAACGGCAGCGCCGGTATCACTGGTAGCAGCCGGGGCGTGACTTGCTGCTTGGCTCTTCTGCATGGTGCTGGTGCTGCCGTGGGTGCTGCCGTGGGTGCTGCCTTGGGTGCTGCCTTGGGTACTGCCTTGAATGGTGCTGCCTTGGGTGCTGCCTTGAATGGTGCTGCCTTGGGTGCTGCCTTGAATGCTGCCTTGAATGCTGCTGTGCGCAGCGGTCGCGCCGACCGCAGCAGGTGCTGTTCTCACTCGCACAATGCTGGATTCGGTGCAAAACGGGGTGAAAAGCAGATGGAGAAACGGTGAGTTGGAGAGGGAGTGAAGAGCTGAGAAACGCAGGAGGGAGTGGGACAGTACGAGAAGGGAAGGGGTTGGAAGCAAGGAGGAAAAATGGAAGCAAGGAGGGAAAATGGAAGCAAGGAGGAAAAATGGAAGCAAGGAGGAAAAATGGAAGCAAGGAGGAAAAATGGAAGCAAGAAGATGGGGTAAGGCAAATAGGACCACTCGTGCGGCAGATCACAAGTAGATTGTCGTGCGCAACAGGGAAAGAACCAGCAGAGGATTATTTTTGCTGCAAAGTTAAAAATATCTGGTAGAGAAACGCGTGCAATATATAGGGTACTACCAGGACAAGAGGTGTATGAGGTGTAGGAGAGCGGAGAGAGTGAGGAACGTACCAGGCAGGCAGTCAGGAAGCACTCATGCTGCCGCGTATTGTAGACGATTGCGTCGATTGGGGTTTGCGTTGTTTGCCTCCATTGAAGGGTGACGGTATCGGAGGTGACAATAACGAGGACGATGACGACGATCTACCCAAGCTTTGCGCGGAGGAGAGAGAGTAGGGAGAGCGAGGGGAGAGGCCTCGAGCAGATTCTTCCAGAGCGGAAGACGACCAGGAACGAGAGAAACTTGAAGTTAGTGCGGGTAATGTAACGCCTGTGGGCTAAGTATTAATGGGCATTCCGCTGCGCCAAATAACACCCTCGTTTTGACCCAGTGGGTAGCGAGGTGTTATACTGGTATCAGAGCCTAGGGTTCAAATCCTGGCTGATCCACATTTTCCGCCTGTGGCGAGAACTTGAATGTGGAAACCTGACTGAACCCAGTGAACGATCCTCCGCTGGCCTGGTCCACCAGCGAAGTCGCTGCTTGGAGCACAGCGAACAGGTCCCTGCGGGGGCCGACTCCCTGAAGTTCGTCAACGGGGACGTTGACACCAGGGGGGGACGAGTGTAACGCCTGTGGGCTAAGTGTTAATGGGCATTCCGCTGCGCCAAATAACACCCTCGTTTTGACCCAGTGGGTAGCGAGGTGTTATAGGTAAGGTCGTGTCAGGCCCTAAGTTCGTTGTTTCTTCCCCGGAGGGCCCTGGACTGCCCGCCGATCCGGCGAACGAACGCGGCAAAACTCCGTTTGCCGACGACTCGAGCTGAGCGGCGTCACAGATTGCGGCGCTACCATTGGCGGTGGTGCCGGTAGTAGGGTGAAGTGAGGCCGCGCCGCCGGCCGGCATGTTCAATGCTTCGTCGCGACGCCGCCGATCTGCCGTGAGCCGCGCACTCCGCGGGGACGAATCGGGGTCTCGTACGTCCCGCCAAGGGGCCGGCGGCCCGGCCGACGCAGCGTCAAATCTTGGGACGGTCGAAAGGTTCAGGGAGAGATTAGGTCTTCGTGACGAGCCGCGCCGGGTTTGGTACGACAGCGACATGATGCTATAGTGTTTGAATCCGGGTGTGGCGTCCCTTCTCCTTTAAAAGACACACAACTTTTACTGACAGCACATGGTAGTATTGTCGACAATGTACTACCGCCGCGAAGGGCTTCACTGAAGTAGACAGGCGTGGGTTGGATGGTTGCTGCGAGCTTGAGAGAGGGTTTGGCTTGACTCCTCTTCCGGAGTCCGTCTGACGGAAAGTCGAATGGAATGTCATGTCAGTCATTGACGGACAAGTGGTTGTATTACTGTAACTTGCGGAGGGCCGTGCTGTCGGTTGTGCGTAAGTGTCGCGTACACAACTTTCCTATGGTGAGCTACAACTGTGGTACAGTCCCACCCGGCCGTTAACATCTCAGTGCAGTCCTGACCAGGCTGCCGAATTGTAAATGGCGCCGCGCGAGTGACGACTGACGAATCGTGCGTGAGACGTGCAGGTAGGACTCCCCCAAAATCGTCTGTACAAGAATCAGAAGTCAAGCACTCTGTCCTGTTCTTGCGGACTTGTGAGATGAGAAGTGCTCTGAAACGGAATACAGCTGATGCTCACCCCATGCGCGCGAATTTGCCTTGCGCCGGATGGACACGCTGCACCCGAGGTTGTTTCCCCAGCTTCATGCACCCACATTACAAGCGCGTCAAGCAGAAGAGACCGAAGTCAAGTAGAAGAGACTGAAGTCAAACTAGGTAACTAGGTAGCAGGGTCTTGTTTATAAGCACATGCGAATTCTTTTTTGCTAGCTGCGAATTTGACGAACTTATGCGAAACGCATGATACAGCTTATACGCCCCCTTCACAAGGCAACCGGGAGGGGCTCAATCAGGCATCAGTTTGTACAAGGTGGAGGGATGATTTGAGGTGAGCGTGAGTCGTTTTTGGGGTTTTGTGAGGAGAAATATGACATGTCATAAATATTCCCGAACCTGGGCCCAGTTTGGCAGGCATAAAAAAACCAAAGGAGGGGGATGGGCTACAGTGAACCGACCACCCTGGAACCTTCCCTGGTAAGCGTGTGAAATATTATCAAGGTTCTTTATAAGCGGATTATGCCGAACCTGACAATAATGGAATGTTGTAAGGAAAACCGCTTTTCCTTACTTCGCATCCCTGCTCAACGCGTACATCACTGTAGCACTGTAGCACAACAGTCAGCACCGTTACCACTCGCGATCCTCGCCTCGACAATCAGCCCGCCATTTTCGCACACCGCATCCCAATCTCACGGCTCGGTTGGTAACCCGCGCTCCGGGCCTCCATTTCGACACTTTCCCAAACCTCAGTCCCAGGCCCGTCGCGCGACAACCACAGTCCATTACCGTTACCACTGTAGTTTCGCTATATATTCTTCGCTCATGCCTTCGCTCATTGTACTCTTGCTTCGATAGTGCAATTCTCGTTCATTCACTCAATTGCACTCGTAACAAATGCCAACCTAACACCCCATTATCCGATGTCATTTCCAACCCACCGTTTCTTCAACGACCCCATTTTCCCTAGCAAAGAGCCCATTTTCGGACACCCCGCACCATGCGGCCTCGAGGTCCCGCATGGTGCGGGGGATCAGTGGTTCGGGGCAATCATTGCTTGCCCAGAAAAAAACATATCCCGCCCCCTTCTGACCCCTCTTCCTGCCAGCAGGAAGCAAAAAAACTCCCCCAACCCACCATCACTAACGACTCGACAGAGATACGCATTCGTTAGGGTTTGAACTCCACTCTCTTCCCTCTTTACATCGACCTTATCGAGCCACCTTCAACCACAGTTTCCCCAATGGTTTTGTTTCCCGAGGACCACTTGTTTGCAGGGCAGGTCCTGTCAGAATATTATAGCTTCTGCTTTTGTGTAGGCTATAGTGGGGTATCCCATAGGGGGTACAACTCAATTAGGGTTAGTACTTGTACCCAGTTCATTCATAGTTCATTCATTCTCGTTTCTTCTCATGGTTTCAGAGCAGGTTCCCTAGTGGGAACGCTACCTAGGGCCCACCACAAACTTATTTTTTTTCCTGCCCGGAGCGCGCCTCAGACTAGACCGAGTCGCGCGCGCCCCGTGTGCCCATCGACCCCACGCGCTGCCCTAGCGGCCCCTCCTTGCGCCACCCGTCGACCCCGCGCGCCGCCTTAGCGGCTCCTTGCGCCGAGCCGTCGACCCCGCGCACCGCCCTAGCGGCCCCCCCCTGCGCCGCGCGTCGACCCCGCGCGCCGCCCTAGCGGCCCCCTGCGCCGCCCGTCGACCCCGCGCGCCGCCCTAGCGGCCCCCTGCGCCGCCCGTCGACCCCGCGCGCCGCCCTAGCGCCCCCCCCCCCCCCCCCCCCCCCTGCGCCGCCCGTCGACCCCGCGCGCCGCCCTAGTGGCGCCTTACGCCACCCGTCGACCCCGCGCGCCGCCCTTGCGGCCTCGCCGCCCTTACCTGCGGCCCCACCGCCCTTACCTGCGGTCCCCGCCGCCCTTACCTGGTGGCCCCACCGCCCTTCACCTGCGGTCCCCGCCGCCCTCAACTTCGGCCTCCCCGCCCTTACCTGCGGCCTCCGCCGCCCTTACCTGCGGCCCACCCGCCTTCCCTGCGGCCCCGTCACCTACTGCAGCGCCGCCCGCCACCTGAGCCGCCCGGGCCGCCTCACCTCGCCGAGCAGCCGACCGCCGAGCCGCCCTGCAGCAGCACGCCCGAGCCACCCAGCAGTTGAGCAGCCGAGCAGCCGAGCCGCCCAGCAGCCGAGCAGCCGAGCCGCCCAGCAACCGAGCAGCCGAGCCGCCCTGCAGCCGAGCCGCCCAGCAACCGAGCCGCCGTGCAGCCGAGCCGCCGTGCAGCCGAGCCGACGTGCAGCCGAGCCGCCGAGCCGCCGAGCCGTCCAACCTCCGAGCCGCCCGAGCAGCCCCGTCCGGTGAGCACAGTGCCTCTTCAATGCACTGCCCTCACCCTACTGTTGCACTGCTAGTCTACTGTGGTCATGGCTACCCCTAGTGTCCTCGTTTTTTACGCTGAGGGTCGAGCCATTGACTTTGACGTCTCGGTAGATGACCTGCAGCTGTTTTTACAGTGCGATAGGGCAGACGGTCTCTCACTCTTTGACCGCACCTCTGGCGCCTCTCCTGCCCCTGCTGCTGATGCCGACGCCACTGTTCGCTCCCAGTGGGCCACGCACGACGCTGCTGCACGTCTTGCTGTGCGTCGCCACCTCCCTACGTCCGAGCGCGCGCACTTTAGTCAGTACAAGAGTGCTCAGACCTTGTACGACGCTGTAGTTGCACGCTACTCCTCCCCTGCAACTGCTGCACTGAGCCGTCTCATGCTACCGTACCTCTTCCCTGACCTTGCTGCCTTTCCCACAATCGCTGACCTCATTACGCACCTCCGCACTAGTGACACTCGCTACCGCGCTGCGCTTCCTGCTGACTTCTGCGCCAAGAACCCCCCCCCCCATGTACATCACTCTCTACTACATAGTCACTCGCTTCCCTTACTCCCTTTGCGTAGTCAGGGACCACTTTCTCTTAGTCTGTCCCACCACACTCACTGTTGACCTCCTCGAGAAGTCCCTCCTAGCGGCCGAGAAGAGCATAGTCGCTGTAGGGGCCTCTCGTGGTGACCCGCGCACCCCCATCTTTGAGGGGTGTTCCCCCTCCCCCCTTCTACCCTCTGTTGCTTCTGCTGCTGCGGCCGACCTCCTTGGTCTTGAGTCAGTCGGTGTGGCGTCTGCCCCTAGCGGGAGACGCCGCTCTGGCAAGGGCAAGGGGAGTAGGGGCACTGGAGGCGCGAGCGGGGGCGGTGGAGGTGGAGGTGGAGGCGGCGGGGGGAATGGGGGTGGCGGTGGGAGTGGAGGTGGGAGTGGAGGTGTCGGTGGCGGCAGTGGAGGCGGAGGCGGCGGCGGCGGTGGCGGTGGGAGCGGAGGTGGCGGAGGTGGCGGCAGTGGAGGAGGCGGCGGAGGCGGCGGTAGCAGCGGAGGCGGCGGGGCCGGCGGAGGCGGTGGGGGTGGCGGTGGAGCTGGTCGCGGGTCTACGCAGAGGAGTGGCTCCGGTGGTGGTCCGCGCCAGCAGCAGCAGCGCGGTCGTGAGACCCTGTCCCCTCAGCAGCTCCGTGAGTGGTACACTGCACGCCAGCGGGGTGGGGGTTCTGGTCCGTGCACCTACGTCCTGCGCACCGGCGACCGTGCGGGTGAGCAGTGTGGGGGTGCGCACCCCACCCAGCGCTTCTTTGGCTGCCTGACGGACGCGTGGCGTCACCAGTTCCCGGAGGCCACAGAGATCCCTCGCTGGGGCGAGCTGTCTAGGGCGGGTGTGTCGAAATATATTGTCATGTTTTATAACTGCTTGTAGTTGTAGTTAGTGTAGTCATTTAAACTGTTGTTGGTGGTGCACCTTATTTGGTTTCTATGCTATATGTACCCTTGAACCTATAGTGAAACCATCCCTTTTCACCAATTCCTCTCTCAACTCACTCGACACCTCGCCTAGGGCAAAACCCGCTCGATACCTAAGTACGGGCCTAGGCTACTAAGCCTAGGCCCTTCCATTCACTTTGCTTTCTTCACAGGGTGTTGCCATCTATGATCTTGATTTTGATGCTATTCTTTCTGCCATGTATGCTGTGTCTATTAGTGATGAGGGTGACTGTTACCGGTGTTTCCCGCCCGATCCGGGCATTGAGACTACTGCTCTAGGTACTGGTGAGGTGGCTGCCCTAGGTGTTTGCGACACTGCTGCTCTAGGTGCTAGTGTGTCTGCGTCCTCAGGTTCTGGTGAGTCTGCGCTCTCAGGTACTACGTCGGCTTCGGCCTCCCTCACCTTCACCCTTGACTCTGGGGCTTCTCGCTCCTTCTTTCGGGACCGTACCACACTCACGCCACTTAGTCGGCCGGTTGCGGTGTCTCTGGCTGACCCCTCTGGGGGTCCTGTCCTGTCTCACTTCTCCACAGTCCTCCCGTGTCCGGCGGCTCCCTCTGGCACCCTGTCTGGTCTCTACCTCCCCTCGTTCTCTACGAACCTGGTGAGTGGTACTGACCTACAGGATGGGGGAGTCCACCAGTTCAGTCCTGCGCGTCAGCGGGTGACGCACTGCACAGAGGCTAGCACAGGCCGACACCTGGCTACGTTTACTCGTCAGCCAGGGTCGAGCCTGTACACACTGACCACTGCGTCTCCTCCAGTTGCTGAGTCTGGTAGGGTAGCTGCGTCGGGTCAGGTGTTTGCTGCAGCGTCCAGGTCTGGTCCTGAGTCTGTCCACTCTTCTTGTCGTCTCCTGTCTCACGAGACTCTCCTCTGGCACCACCGCCTTGGTCACCCCTCTCTGCTTCGGCTCATTGGCATGGCCTCCCGTCTTCTTGTTTCTGGACTCCCCCGGTCCCTCCCTCCCCTTCCTCAGGGCCCTGGCCCTACCTGTGTCCCCTGTGTCAAGGGGCGCTAGCGAGCTGCCCCTCACTCCTCTTAATTTCCTGCGACAGAGGCCCCATTGCAGACGCTTCACATGGACGTGTAGGGCCCAGCCCGCGTCCGTGGACAGGGTCACGAGCGCTACTTCCTGCTCGTTGTTGACGACTACTCGCGTTACACTGCGGTCTTCCCCTTGCGCAGCAAGGGTGATGTCAGTGAGGTGCTGATCGACTGGATCCGCGCAGCTTGTCTCCAGCTCCGGCAGAGCTTTGGCTCGGAATTTCCTGTTCTGCGTCTGCACTCGGACAGAGGCGGAGAGTTTTCCTCTGGCCTTCTGAGAGCCTACTGTCGCGCACGAGGCATTCGTCAGACCTTCACGCTTCCGGACTCTCCGCAGCAAAATGGGATCGCTGAGCGCCGCATTGGCATGGTCATGGATGTCGCTCGTACGTCCATGATGCATGCGGCTGCCCCCCATTTCTGTGGCCGTTTGCGGTGAGGTACGCGGCGCATCAGATCAACCTTCACCCCAGGGTCTCCAGGCCGGAGACCTCCCCAGCCTTGCTATGGACAGGGAAGGTTGGCGATGCGTCGGCGTTCCGGGTCTGGGGATCTCGGGCGTTTGTCCGCGACTTGTCTGCGGACAATCTGTCCCCTCCTGCTGCTCCTTGTGTCTTCCTAGGGTTCCCCCCTGACGCGCCTGGGTGGCAGTTCTACCACCCCACCTCTCAACATGTTCTGTCCTCCTAGGACGTCACGTTTGACGAGTCAGTCCCCTACTACCGCCTCTTCCCCTACCGCACTCCGTCCCTCCCCCCGCCCCCGCTCTTCCTGGTCCTAGGTCCCCCCCCGGTAGACCCCCTCCCCCCTCAGGGTCCTGCCCCTTCAGGTGTGTCCCAGGTAGACGCAGTCGAGCCTGTCGAGGTTACTGGTGACTCTGGTGTTGCTGAGGGTGCTGAGCCTGGGGGTGCTGAGACTGGGGGTGCTGAGCCTGGGGGTGCTGAGACTGGGGGTGCTGAGCCTAGGGGTGGTGAGCCTGGGGGTGCTGAGCCTGGGGGTGCTGAGCCTGGGGGTGCTAAGCCTGGGGGTGCTGAGCCTGGGGGTGCTACGCCTGGGGGTGCTGTGCCTGGGGATGCTGAGTCTGGGGGTGCTGAGCCTGGGGGTGCTGAGCTTGGAGGTGCTACGCCTGGAGGTCCTCCGGGTGCTTCGTCTCGCCGGGAGCCGCTCTCTCCATCGGAGCTGCGCGAGTGGTTTGCCCGGCGCTGGAGGCGTGCTGATGGAGCTGGAGGTGCTTCGGCTGCTGAGGGTGCTGGTGCCGCGGGTCCCGGAGGTGCTCGTACTGGGAGTACTGGAGCTGCTGGGCCTGCGAGTTCAACTAGAGCTGGTGCTGCTGCGAGCGTTGGTGCTGAGCCTACTGCTCGCGGTCCTGTTGGGGGTGCTACTGGTGCTGCTGGAGGTTCTGGAGCTGCTGGAGGTGCTGCTGGAGCGGGTGCTCCTGCTGGGGGTCCTGGTGCTGTCCCTGCTGTGTCTGGCGTCGTCGCGCGGCCTCGACCGTACTTCGTTCCACTCCTGCAGTAGGTTCTTGGTCTTCCACCTTCTACAGGTCCTCCTTCTTCTTTAGAGTGTCCACAGCCTGTCCCGTCACAGCTACAGTTACAGCCTGCCTCCCCACTACCTGCTCCCTCTCCCTACACTGGTCCTACTGGAGGTCTTGCTGAGCGTCGTGAGCCTGCGTCTCGTCCTGCGTCGCCTGTTCGTGCTGCTCGCGCTAGTGGTCGCGGTTCGCGGCAGCGTCCTCCTCCTGTCCTTGGCACGCACCAAATGTCTCTGCGTCCGTCCATTGCTCCTCTGCGTGCCCCTTTGCCTTCTCCTCCTGCGTCCTCTCTTCCTACTCTTGCCGACCCGGAGTCGGACTCTCTTCGTGCTGCCAGTCCTACTGTCACGCGTCTCCTTGCTACTGTTTTCACTGACCCTTCTTTCGAGTCCACTGCTGCATTTTCCCTAGTTACTGAGCTCGTCGACTTTGCTGCTCGCTGTCGCCTAGAATACGCTGCTAGTCTTGTCGCTGAGTCTGAGTCTGTCTGTCCTCCGTCCGTCGGGGGTGAGTGTGCCCTTGGCACCGATGTTCTTGAGGACAGGCAGGAGGAGTTCCAGTGCTTGGCCGCTGCTTCACCTCATCTCGTGTACGTACTGCTTACCCCTGAGGGAGACCCGGATGCACTTGACATCCTGACTCCGCGCTCTTACGCGGAGGCGATAGAGGGTCCCTACTCTTCTCAGTGGCAGGCAGCTATGGATGCAGAGATGGCTTCCTGGAAGTCCACAGGCACCTACGTTGACGCTGTTCCCCCACCTGGGGCGAACATCGTCAGTGGCATATGGATTTTCAGGGTGAAGCGGCCGCCGGGTTCTCCGCCTGTCTTCAAGGCACGGTACGTGGCTCGTGGCTTCAATCAGCGGCAGGGAGTTGACTACTTTCAGACCTTCTCTCCCACCCCGAAGATGACCACTCTTCGGGTACTACTGCACGTTGCTGCTCACCGTGACTACGAGCTGCACTCTCTCGACTTAAGCACAGCTTTCTTGCAGGGCAGCCTGCACGAGGAGATCTGGCTGCGCCGCCCTTTTGGCTTCACTGGGTCGTTCCCTCCTGGTACCCAGTGGAGTCTCCGGCGTCCAGTCTACGGTCTCCGCCAGGCGCCCCGTGAGTGGCACAACACACTGAGGACTACACTTGCGGCTCTTGGGCTTGCTCCTTCTACTGCTGACCCGTCGCCCGACACCGACACCTCTCTGCCGCCTTTCTACATCCTCATGTATGTCGACGACTTGCTCTTTTCCACTGGTGACACTGCTGGACTCGCCTACGTGAAGTCCGAGCTGCAGAAGAGACACACGTGCACAGACCTGGGTGAACTGTGCAGCTACCTTGGCTTGCAGATCACCCGGGACAAAGCACGCCGCACCATTACCCTGACTCAGTTACACATGGTGCAGCAGGTCCTTCAGCGCTTCGGCTTCACGTACTCCTCGCCTCAGGCCACTCCTCTGCCTACTCGCCACTCACTCTCAGCTCTGCCTTTGGATGAGTCCGTAGAGCCGAGTGACCCTGGTGGACATCGATGTTTGTTACGATGTGAAGTTTTATAAGAAGGCATTCCTGTATGCTGTAGGAGCCGACTCTACCGAGTACGAAGTTGAGGAGTCAGGAGAGCCGAAGCGACGCAGCAACCGTCAGACCTAGACCGATGCAGGCAGAAACATTTGAAGTGAAAAGAGCGGGAACAGGTTTTGAAAGGGTTCCCGCGCCGCACGGTTTTGAATTCAGTTGTAATAAGGGAATGTACCCCTTAGAGTACATGGCTAGTCTAGGTCCTTTCGTATTCCCTTGTACACTTATATAAACTCGATGTATGCATGCTATTATTAACTCAGTCATTTACATTCACTCTGACCTGAGATTCAAACTTCCGCTGCAACACTACTCCGCGATCAACCCTGAGCGATCCTTTGCTAAGTCCCACTTGGGATTGTAACATGGTATCAGAGCTACTCAGGGATTCTTCGCAACTTCACTTCCGTGAAATTCGCCGAATCAAGACCTGGCGAGCGGCACACGCTCCAAGACCAAGATGGCCGGAGGATCCGGAGGCCAAGCAAATCTGACGGCTGAAGGACAACCCAATCCAGTTGCGACAAGTGAGGCGACAACCACAATCGGCACTGCCGCCCTCGAGCAACTTTTCGCTCGACTTTCAACTATGGAGAAAGAACTCCAAGAACTGCGCAAAGGCGATGCGGGAATCTCTTCCCAACCAGCACAACCTGGACAACCGG